CATTCTTACTTTACAGCATTTTTTCATACCTGCCTAAAACTTTTGCACAGTACTGTATATGCACATGTTTATGGATTGAGAGATTTTGCCTGCATCAAATTTCTGAAACATGAAAGAGCTTTTACATCACATTTTTAAATAATATTCAGTGTTGGAAGTTATAATATTGTTGAAGTTTATACATACCTGTCTGTAACAGAAATTAGCCCACTATGTAATGCTTAGTAGTATTGTGGAGATAGTATTATGTCCCTCTGGCTCAGATTAAAATTTAATCCCAAGCATCTGGATCCTCTTTCCCCATAATACCTGAATTCTGAAATGGCATCATTCAAGTGCCAGGGATATTGGGAATTGTACCTTGAGTTTTGATGACAGACATCTTGGAAACTACATGTTCCAGAGCTCTTTGCATTGGGATCAGTAAACAAAGATGTCTGCTTCTATGCACCTAATGATTAGAAGGAGAAGCTGACTTTAACTTTGAAATGGATGTTGATAACATCTTGGAATCATGAGCAGCAAATAAATGTAATCATTTCCTTTGGAACTGGTTGCTGTAATTTTTAATTGCCGTTTGATATCATAATATACATTAGAATGCAATGCTATATAAACATGTCACTCTTGCAAGGAGGGATGAATTATTCTTTTTTTTTTTTTCCTTCATAGCAGAAGCACGTACAGGAATATGGAAAAATTTTCAAGTCTCATTTCGGTCCCAAACTAGTTGTGTCCATTGCAGATAGAGACATGGTGGCTCAGGTTCTACGGGAAGAAGGATCCATGCCACAAAGAGCTGACATGGATTCCTGGCAGGAATACAGAGATCTACGGGGGCGAGCTACAGGACTTATATCTGCGTGAGCGCACTCACATTTTTTTCTTTGTATTGTCAAACAATCTTCTAATCTTTATGTTCTTCTTAAGTCTGGTGATGCATTTAAATCTGTTTTCAATGAGTGTATTTTATTAAAGAATGTACTTGCAATATGATTATATACCTATGGGTTTGGTGTTGGTAAATGCCTGTAGGGAACATTCAGAATAATTACTGATGCAGTGTGGTTTTTCAAAAGAAAGCCAGTCCCTTCATGAGTCATAGGTACTATTCTGTTTCCACAGGATAAAATTGTAGCAGCTAAGTACTTTATATAGTAAGAACCAGACTGTGCTTTAAACAAGTCAGCAAAATTTTAATGGAATAGTATGGACTAAAACAAAGATACCAATTTTGTAATTCTAGAAATGGAACATTTAATTTATTTTTGTTAACCACAGAGTCCTTTGTTGTTAGAACTGCAGTTACAGTTTAGTCACCCTACAGACATTTTTAAGGCTTATTAAAATTAATAGCATATAAACAACCATAACTTCTAGGATTACTGTACAATAAACATGTGAGCTTAGTTAAATTTAAAAGATCAGCATTATGTAGTTTTTTTTTATTATTATAAAAAAGAATTCTGGTCAAATTAAGTGATTTTAGTCAAAAGAAGACTATTGCTATTGATATGTAGAAGATATTCTCTCCCCCCCATGTGAATGGGTTTCCACATTTGGGGAAATCGCAGGGATCAGCATACTCAGAATGCAATGGTTGAGCTTCACTCTGTCAAAACCTCCTTCATGACTCTTATTTACTCTTCTAAAGTTCTGTACCTCTTTTATGATCTTTTAAATACTTTTTAAAAAAGTTTTTTATTACTTTTATTCTCGATCTACTTTTTATAATTTTCTACTGTGAACTCCAGCCCAATCCTTTGCCAGTTTTTTCCCCATCTGTTACAGTATTTAATAACACTGAGTCAATGATACTCTGTTTTGCACAAGGATCAAATGGGATCTTCAAAAACAAAAACAAACAAAAAACAAAAAAAGGGCTAGTTATTTTTCTCCTTTTATTACTCCCAGGAAAAAAAAAATGATCAGGCACCTGGACTCAGATGAGTTTTAGCAGCATTATTTCCAAGTATGTATATCTCACTATCAGTTCCTCAACTTGTGGTTTGCAGGCTGCATGCAGTTCCTAGCACCCCTATAGTGGTCCCTAAAGCACTCCAAAACTCTGATGCTGAAATTCAGTAGCAAAGTGGTTGATTTTTGGTGGCACGACTTTTGTTTGTTTTGGACTTTTTCGGCTGCTTTAATAAAGGGAATGGAAGTAGAGGCTTAAATGAGGTGAAATGATCCTGTTTTCAATGTAAGCTCCTCAATCAGGTATGAAATGGTCCAAACAATTTTAGCTCCACCATTTCTGGTAATGTCATCATGTCACTTGAAGGGTGCCTGAAGCCAAGAAATGGTGAAGTTGGACTGACCATTTTCTAGAGTAAGTTGTTCATTCCTGTGCTTGGCACTTGGGGAAAGGGTTACCCCTTGGGATATACAAACTCACCATTCAGGTTTTTTTCCAGGCCATGCCAGTCTGGCTATTCCATGAGTGTTCCAGTAGTTTACTCACTTTATAGTGACTATACAGGCACATGCATGGAGAGACAGGTACAAATTTAAAAGCAGACATGTGAAACTTACGGAAGATGCAGCTTCCTTCATGATTTGAAGAGAAGTGTATTTCATTTATACTCTTGTATGTTGCAAAATGCCTTGTTTGCATGCTTTGCATAGCTCTGACAGTTGAGCATCCTATCTTCTTGCAGTTGCACAGTAAAACCTCTGCAAAGCTAGTTGTACCAAAGGACTACATTATTGCAACTTGCCATGTTTGCAGTAGATGTCCTACTGCACAGATGTCCAAATCATGTGCAGCTTATGTATCAATTTGCTGTAAATGCTTAGAAGCCCATCATTTTGCAAAAACATAGATCAAAGGCAGAGATTTTGAAACAGGAGAAAGAAGTGAGTTTACTGTACATAGGTACTGTGTCTGCACAGTGGCAAACAGATAACTGATGCTTTGTATGTCACAGTTACAAACCTAGGAGATCAGTCTTATGCTAATTGTGATGCAGACCTAAGCAGCATTCATGAGGAATCCCTACAAGGCAAAATTTGCATTTTTAAATACCAAGTCACACTTGAAAACATTTGGTGACGATTGGCACAGTAAGTGAGCTAAAAAAAAGCTAAGCAGAGCTGAATCTTTTTAATACTTGAATGTGAGACTACCAGGAAATGCCAGGACTGTAGGAAAAGTATCACAGAAAAAATCAAAAGCAAGCTATTTTCATATTGTTGCCCAAACAAAACAATAAATAGGATGCGTTCTTGTAGTAACCAAGAGTCAAGAGTTAACTTGAAGGAAATGTTAGCTTTATCTTCATCTACCCTAAAGGTGCTTCCAGAGCATGTTGCAAAGTAGGAAGCAATGATCCTGATGTAATTTTTCATGTCACCGGCAATGGCTGTCATCGTAATTTAGGCATTTCAATACATTGCATCAGAATTTATGAAATGAGTCCAAGAGATGACCTGGGTGGCACTGGCAATAAGAGGGGACTTTCTTAAGAGATGTTCAGATATTTTTAAGGGATTGACGCAGATAAGCACACATTTTTGTCAGTCCTGGAGTACCATCAGTTGTTTAATGGGTCACCAATTAAGATCTTCTATAGTCAGCCTAGAAACTCAAATTGTTATCACAAAAATGATTAGACCACCACTAAAAATTTTCCCCTAATTGATCCTGGCCTACATTTAGACAACAGAAGCATTTGGAGATGGGCCACTGATTTAAAGGTGATCTTGTAATATTTCATGAGGATAGGAACAACTAAAAGAAATTAGTAACCTGTTTTATAAAAGGATTTTGGACTGTGTTTGGAAATGTACTGGAATCTAGGCACATACCAAAACCCTTAAGCAAATTTGTGAGATGTATTCCATGTTCACTTTTATTTCAGCTTCCTACTTAATAACATCAGGGGTAGCATAATTCTGATAGCATCACAATGAAAAGAACTTGATTTTTTTTAAAAAAAACACTTCTGGCCTATTTTTTCCACATGTCATTACTTTACTAGCATAAGGGGAAAAATGTGTTCCTTTACCTGTCAAGATTCATAACTTAAGGGTAGAGGCATTTTAATAAAATGACAGTAATTAGATTTAATAATATATTAACATAAAATTTTAATAAAGCGTTTTATACATCAGTCTAACCACTCTGTGCATCTGATGAAGTGAGATGCAGCTCACAAAAGCTTATGACTTGTAATAAAACTTGTTAGTCAAAAAAGGTGCCACCAGACTCCTTCTGATTTTTTGCTACCATAGACTTAACTGGCTTCCCTCCTACGGTAACACATAATATGTAACTTGCAACAGATAAAGCAATGCCTTATTCACTTCCTGTTGAATCTATATGAAATAAACAATTTTTGTAGAAATATTCCCCTCCAGAAACATTTTAAAGTTTGGCTACGTTCATCCCATTTCCACTTACTGAAAATTTTGATTTTATTTTTCACAGAAGTGTGACCTAGATTATCCTTCCCTGTTATTTCTTCTAGGGAAGGGGAACAATGGCTAAAAATGAGACGTGTACTAAGACAAAAAATGGTAAAACCCAGTGATGTTGCCATTTTCTCCAGAGGAATTAATGAAGTTATTTCAGATTTAATTAAAAGAATCCATATACTTAGACATGAAGAAGAAGATGGGGAAACTGTGACAAATGTTAATAGCCTTTTTTTTAAATATTCAATGGAAGGTAAGATTCATCATTTTTAAATAAGGGATAAAAGTTTAAAACATGATTATATCAGTGATTATTATCAACTGTAGTGACTGCTGCAATGTTCAAACAAGAGATGAAACATCATAAAATCAGGGATAGGCAATCTGGGGTTGTCCACTTGTTAGAGATTATCACTTTCATAAGTCCTTGACAATGGCCAAGTTATGAGAGATTCTAGACATAAATAATTAACAGATGGCAGAGTTTGTTAATGAGTTATCTAACAAATGGCAGTTCATTGTGGGTTGCAGAAAGCCCAGGATGGAGAGATTCAAAACTTTCAAAGAGAATTCACCTTAATAAACTCACGAAGAAAAGAATGCTGGAGGTGCCTCCATAGTTTCTAAAATTCTGTATATTACCCCCAATTCTTGCATTAAAACTCCTTATTGAAGTCTCTGTGATTCTTGCTTCCTTGATTGTGTCCTACTTTAAGGAGTTTACAGTACAGTAGTTGCTGGTGTTGACAAATACCAAAATAACTGGAGGGTGCTGAGTTGACTACCTGTGTTAGAAATGAATTATGCAAAGCAGCTGCATCTCATCCATTGGGCATAGTGATGGCAGATCAAAGTCCACCATTGCTCCTGGGTGTTGTAGCATATGAATACTGCCATTGACACTACCATTTGTAATATTTTCTCCAAGGACCACGTGCCATTCAGGAAGGCATTAAAAGTCTTGCTATTCTGGCAGACACTAGCTGGTGTGATTTGTCAATCTAATGGAGTCTGATGTGACTCAAGTTTCTGTTTTCCCTGCATGTGGCTATTATATCTTTTTTGTTCTTCTTTGTATTCTGTGGTTCTTTTTAACATTCTTTGTATGCTGCCTTGAGTCACTCTCCAATTGGATGCCCATAAAAATCAAATAAATAAATAACATTTGGCACAGTCACTTCATTGACTACATTCTGTCACTGTATATGCAATATGTGGGCAGCATATTAAATTGCACTTTGGGTTACAATACAGAGTACAGGTAGTCCTTGCTTACTGACTGCCTCATTCAGCGACCGAAATTATGTCAGTGCTGTCTCTTCAGTCACGTGATCACTATTACAGTCAGTATGCATTGCCTGCAGCTGACCTGCTGTTTTTCTCCCCCCCCCC